GCATTGTTTGCAGGAACAAATATGTTCTGAAAGTACAGGCTCAGAAAATTATTCTTCAAAAGATCTGTGGAGTCCCCAGAAAGGTTGGGGCAATGCATGTGGTTTAAAAGGTGATCTCTGTGCCCAGAGGTGCCTTGTGCCAGCCCGCTCTCTGGCAGCCTGTGAACTGGCCCCGGCCTCCTGGAGCAGGTGCCAACCAGAGCTGCTGATCAGCCCCTCCATTCTCCTTTGGTGTGAAGCTCCTGTTGTATAATCTCTCTCCAGAAATGATGGAGGTGACCTGTGATCAAGATCTGCCTGAATAAGCTCTGTTACTTTTTATTCCTGAAAATGAGATTCAGCCTGAATTATGAAGAACTTTAACCTGTGTTTTGTAGCTCAGTGATTCTCAACCTTGACTACATGTTAGAATTACCTGAAGAACTTTAGAAAATACCAAATATCGGATGCCTTGTCCCCAAATAATTAAACCAGCATAGCTAAGGCTGGGGCCTGATATCAATATTCCTTAAAAATTATTGCAGGTAATGGACTCTACAGTGAGGGTTGAAGACCACTGAGTGGGAGGCTGGAGGGGCGGTGAAAGGGGGTCTTGCACTGCTGCTGCTACTCAGCATAGCTAGTACTGCTGCCAGCTTCCCAGGTGCTTAGCTTAGTACGTGCAGGTGTTTTCCTAAGCATTTTTCATAGAATGAGATAACCCTCACGTCCTCCTTGCAGTGACCTACGAGCTTATTTCATTTTTACAGATGTGTGTATTGGAAACTTTGAGGAAGCAAAGCAATTTACTCAGAGTGGAATGATGCTTCTTGGGGATATTCTCTGAAACGAAAGTGAGAGTTAACCTGTTTATCTAGGTACACGATATCTGGTTTTTCATGTCATTGCTCTACTAAGTGCACAAACAATGACTCCCAGGTACTTGGACTTAACACCATTGCACATTCACACATGATCTTTCGTGTTATATTTACAACCTCGCTGGGAGGTCTCCATCAGGAAGGGCGGGGTGAGTAGGGTGAGATTTAGAATGAGATTTAATTTAGCTGGTCACAAAGTCTGAGATCACTTGCCTTCTAGTGAGGGCATTTTTTTAAACCATTGAACCACGAGTGTTTTCTTGGTGGTGCTTTTGGTGTATAGTTCAATCAATTTTAACCCACATATAGAGCCACATAACCACCACCACCATGAGCATGTAGACCAGCACATAGAGTTTGAAGGGCTGGAATGTTGCTTCAAATCAGTAGCCACCCCGCCTCCTCCACCCACCTGAGCAGACTACACAAGCTTGACTTTCTGTAAGAGGTTTACCTCCATGGCAGCCCAAGCTAGCGATTTCTTGGCAGTTTGGAGCCAGGCCCTCCTGGAAGTCTGACTGGTGGTAGGAGTGGTGGGGGGTGTGTGCCTTTCCTTTTTTCTAACTTGGCAAGATACTGTAATCGTTGACCCCTAAAGGGAGGACTTGAAACATGAAAAGGAGGTTGAAATCGGAGCTCTAATGGTATGGGTTAGTTTCTGGAAAGAAATGAAATAATATACCCCTACAAGCCTCTGAAAATTACAGGGATCAGAGACTGGGGTATGGAAAGTGGACATGCGCAGGGCAGCGGAGGTGGGTGGCAGGTAAGCACTTGTCCTCTGCCCTGGCTCCGGACCCTCCTCCACCTTTCTTTTTGAATCTACATTGTGAGCTCTAAGCCCAAAGGCCCCGAGGGCTTGGGTATGATCTTCCTTCCTCACAACCGGACACCCTCCATAGAATCCTTTCCAAGAGAGAGCAGCAAGAAGCTTTGATGCCTGGGAGCCTGTTCTGGGAAGCTCATTTTGATAACAGCGCTCATCCTTTGATCTCCCCAGCCCACAAGTTACCAACTTCAGGTTTGAAAATTCTGACAGTCTTGTTTATTTTGCTCTATGTATGAAAGCGTAAGACTCTAGGATGAAAAGCCCTACCTAAATACCAAAAAATGATACAGTTGTACTTTAGGAGAAGAAAAGCACGCTGTCTCCAGCTAAAGAAATGCTTTTTATTTGTGTAGCTTTTCTTTTCCCTTTCCATACCTTGTTACAAGTGTGAGGCACTTACAGCCTCTGTTCTAATAAACCGTGTGAACATAGCTGTGGATGGGAGCGCAGGGATCTGCTGGTGGCCGTACGATGGGGTCTGCGGTACTAGTGCCAGCACTGGTCAGCCTGGGTCCTTTTCTTTGTGCAGGAAGAAGTGCACATCATTATGACAGAGGGAGGGAGAATGGGAAAGAGGAAGGGAAGGAGGGAGAAAGCAGGGACATTTGACCTGAGCACGAGTGAAGTGGGTGGGGATGAGCTGCTTCTGGTAGAGGAAGGAGCCAGTTCAAAAGGTCCTTAACTGACAACAAGTTGGTGTGTTCTGGAGCAGAGAGAGGGCTGTTGTGCTGGTGACGAGTGTGGCAGGAGGCAGGGCCTGGGTCATGTAGGGTTGAAGACCATGGTAAGGAATTGACTACTTTGTTCTTAGAGAAATAGATTTTAAGCAGAGGGCTAACACGGCCAGATTAGCAGGTTAAAAGATCCCTCTGGTTGCCGTATGAGAGGGGAGAAGATTGGCTATCCGTGAAGGGAGGGTTCTCCTGGGTGGCCCAGAGGGGCTGGTGAGAAGTGGTCAGATTTGAGTGATATTTGGAAGGCTGAGCCAACAGGATGTGCAAATGGGTTGGTATGGATGGGGTAAGGGAAAGAGCTAAATCAAGGATGACTCTTGGGCGTTTGGAGCCTGTGGGGAGGGATGTGTTGTGTAACCTGATAAAGAAGACAGGGAAGACAGCAATTTGGAACAGGAACAAACGAAGAGGTCTGTTTACACTGGTGAGGTGTGAGATGCCCGCAGACATCCAAACTGAGGTGCTAAGGAGTCAGTGGACATGCTTGTCTGGAGTTTGAGGTAGCAGTCAGGCATTGGAATCACTCCTTTTTAGGAGTTTCTAGGAACTTTGGTTTTTATGGAAACTTTTAGTATTTTAGAAACATTTAGCTCTTTGAGCTCCCTTTGATTCCCAAGATGAATACCTGAGAATATGCTGGACTGTGCTGGGATTTCTTGCATCCCTCTGGGGGAAGACACTTTCTTATGATGAGCAGACAGGAACCCTCTGCAGCTATTCCAGTTGCATTATAGTGGAATCGTCCTGAATTTTTCTCTAGACGCAGTCAACTGTTTTTCTGAATTCTTTCCTGCACCTTCCCTTTACTAAGTCAGGTATAGATCTACCTCCTGTTCAGATATGTTCCCAGTGGAGTGCAGCACAATAATTGAGATCAGTAACTTATAATGAAAAAGAATATGAAAGCGAATAAATGTCTGTGAATGTATGACTGCAACATTATGCTGTACACCAGAAATTGACACATTGTAAACTGACTATAGATTAATAAAAAAAAATCTAGCAAATTGTTAATCATGCTCACATTTTAAAGGATCCTGAATGTAACAATCACCAGTGTGCCAGGTGTTCATGTGTATCTTGTACATGAAAATTGGACCCTATTGTTCCTTTGTCATATACAAATTGCAGTTAGAGTCACTGTGCACATCATGTGGGTGATAGATCAGAAGAATGCAAAGAAAAAGGGGTGAATGATGCCTCTGTATGGAAAAAAATCTATAAGCCCAAAATCACTTATTGTTACGTTTGGAAAAGTTTCCGCATTCAAACTGTCCCTGACTTAAACTCTGCTTCCCTTTTCTATTACAATTTCTTAAGTCACTTTTGCTCTCTCCTGAAAAAGCACCTTTCACCTACTCCGTAACTCTGCTTCCCTTTTCTATTACAATTTCTTAAGTCACTTTTGCTCTCTCCTGAAAAAGCACCTTTCACCTACTCCAGCTGGGACATTGACTTTATTTCCTAATCTGCTGTCTTCTATAAGTGTCCTTGCAGCTCCAATATTTCCCATATTTTGTTCTGTTAGAATGTCTGGTCGTCTCACTTTCCCCTAGACTGACAAGTGTCACCCCTTGCGGAGGGTAATGATTATACTGACCTCATCACTGGTTCCCAACACCATCAAACGTGTTGCCGGCTGGTGATGTCGGTGGCACCCAGGCTGTGCAGAAGCTGGAGATGGCAACACTCCAGGTGGGCTTTTCAGATGGGCAGGTGCCTGAGCACCTTCTGGAAAAACCAGTCTTCCCTCCTCTGTGCAGCTTAACAGCTGTGTGACTGTGAGCAAATTACTGGATTTCTCCAGGCCTCTGTTCTCTTCTCTGTAAATGGGGATAATTATAACCCACCTCTGATATTTGAATTAAGTGAATGAATACCTGTAAAACACTTAACAGAGTACCTGCTACATAAAAGGAACTCGATAAGCTATAGTTTCTGTCAGAACTCCCCCGAGTCTTTATTCATCAGGAAACAACCACGTACTCTGAAAACACACATGCCAGTAAGTGGCTATTAGTGAAGACAAGTCAAGCTTCGGAAGCAAGTGAGACTGAAAAGATGAAGGGAAATTGACCATCAAGGCAAAGTGGAGGGACGGTGCGGTGGTTCTCAAAGTGTGGTTTCAGGACCCACAGCATCAGCATCACTTGGGAGCTTGGTAAAAATGCAGATTCTCAGAGCTGCTGAATCAGAAACTCCGAGAACAGGGCCGAGCAATCTGTGTTTTAGCAAGACCTTCAGGTAATTCTGATGCACGCTGAAGTTTGAGAACCACTGTTCCAACATAAACTCAACAGATACAGGATGAGGAATAATGCGTGTGTTTCTATAGAGGGGTGGCGGCGCACCCCCCCTGCCCCCACGGGTCGATGTTCATAACTGCTGAAACTGTGAACCAAGCCTGGTCGCATCGGCAGAATCCCATCAAACTGGAGCTTAATTTCCCATTTTCTTTGGTACTGTAGTCTGAATAGAAATATATCTAGAATGCTTATTTTCAATGACTTTGCACTAAATTCATTTCAAGTTTAAAACTATTAATTCATCAAAATTTTTTGTCTTTTCTTTTACTAGGAAATTCCACTTACTTGGATGACCATGGACCACCTCCTAGTAAGGTAAGATCTTTGCTTGTGGTATAAATTCCCTTTTCCTTTTCTCAGTACCTTCAGCCTCCGACAACCCCAATCAGATCCCTCCTGTCCCTGAAGTGTTCACAAGAAAATAGCAGATGGCAGATGCCACGTTAATCTTTAGCTAATAGTGAGCAGGAAAAGGAAGCATGCAAAGATAGCCAAAATGGTGAGGGGGCAAGAGCTATCATTTCATCAGCCACTGTAGCTCTCCCAGGCACTGGAGCTTCAGGCTGACCTCAGACCTCTGGCTGCTTCTCCTGTTTGCTGCCTTGTTTGCCTCTGCATCCGTGCTAGCCTGTGATCTGGCGTCCACAACCCAGCCTCCTCATGCTCAGGCCTTCAGCTAGGCTCACCTCGGCCCTTGTCTCCAGGGCCTGCCTTACTTGGGACGCTCCACCCAATGCTCTGCCCCCGGAACTGGCCTCCTCTGCCAGGGCCCTCTCTGGGCTGTGCTGGCCTGGCTGTGCCACCGCTTTTGTTCTTAGAGGCAATTTTGGTCTGACTTTTAAGGGTCAGAGCAGTCCAGTGAAGTATTAATGTCATCCCCCACCATTATCTACTTTCTTGAGTCCAGTGAAAACCAAATATCAGTCTACATAAAAAATAAGAAAAACATAGACACTCTGACCACTTAAGGTGATCCCTACAAGGTGCAGTTGTAAGCGCATAGTGAGAAAAGAGTCAACCAGTAACCTTAGAGGCTGGAAATTTACCCTAAAGTTGGCTTTTGAATTTTGTGGAATTTGAAGAACTCCTCTACATGTAAGACCATGAGCTTGGAATAAAATATTTCTGGGTTTATCTCGGGCTCAACCACTATCAATATATGACACTGAACAAATTACTTAACATTTCAAGCTTCAGTTTTTCGATGTGCAAAGTGGGATTGAAAATATGACCCACAGTACAGGACATCTGACAAGACTGAATGAGCTGATACATAACAAGCACTCAGCACCTGGCATGTAATAAGCATTAGATAAGCAGTGGCTCGTGTTAACTAGACTGGAATAGCATTAAGATTATTGATGAATGGTACAGCAGTATTTATCACAGTAGTGAATGGCTTACCACTTGGTCCACTGCATATATATTGATGCTGCAGGCACTAGGAATATGAATATGAAACAAAGCAAAAACAACAAATAACACCATAGCCTCTACCCTGGAGGAACAAAGGAATATGGAGGGTTAGACACCATCTGAGGATAAGGACCGCGTCTAGCTCATCCCAGGGTCCTCACATCCTTGCATTAGCCTTGTCGCACAGACAGGCACATTGAGACTATTTATTAATTTTCACTGAACTGGACCATGGAATCCAAAGCTGGAATCTGAATTAGGTGTCCTGGCTCCCATCCCAGGCTCTTTCCACTAGGCCGGTATTCTCAAACTTTAGCTTGCATCAGGATTTCCTGGAGGCTTGTTAAAACCCAGCTTGCTGGACCCAGACCCCTGAGTGTCTGATTCAGGTCTGGGGTGGAACCTGAGAATCTGCATTTCTTACAAGCTCCCAAGTGATGCTAATACTGCAGGTATGGGGACCACATTTGAGATCCACTATTCTAAAGGCCATGAGTGTAAAGAAAATCATTTCCCTGGACATTTTCTGTGTTGTTTTTTATTGCTAATCGCCTAGAAGAGTGGCATGGCTTATTATATAAAGGATGTTAATTATTGTATTGATGACTCACCATTGTAACTTTTCTTGTAGTGAAAACGTATTTTCTTGTCAATAATCTGCCTAGGAGGGAAAATAAGTTGGGGTAGGGAAGAAGAATGGTGCAGATGGCCAGCTAGGTTCCTTCACCCCTTACTGCATTTCTCTCCTAAGTAGGACCAAGTGAACCCTTCTCAGCCCCTCTGCTCTGCAGCGGGGAAGGTGGCTCCGTTTGTGGGACCTATTGGTTGCTTCCCTCAGTGGTATATCAGGCCATTCCTTTGGGTTCCAGGTTTAATAAATGGGGCTGTACCTGGTCAGAAGTCCCAGGCCCACTTTATATAAACTTACCTTCTTGAACTCAATCCTTGGTGACCCACCTGAGGCTACGCCTTTAGTCGGCCTGGGGGACTTACTCTTGCAGAGTCGGCCATCCTCCCAGCCTCTTTGCTCGTGTCCTTGGTGCTTGGGTTCTGTGTTTGCTGGGCTCTCTCCCCTTGCCCCTGCAGGGCTTTTCCTGGCTTGCAATCTTCACCCCTCTTCACCCCTTTCCCTTCTGCCACCCCCAAATAAGGCTCCTTGTGAGACACAAAAACGATCAGAACTCATTAGATCATTTTAGACCATTTTCAGAATAAATCCAGTTTTATAAATTCTAGTCCAAGTTTGAAACCTGTGAGTATAATCTCTTTCAGCCAGCAGTTTATATAATACAGATTATTTCACTATAAGTGTGTTTTCTTTATCTAGGAGTGGAGTAGCAAAAAACACTCTTAACTTTCTAAGCAGTAGCCAAAATAATAAGAAGAATGTAAAAATGGGTAAAAATAATATTGGCATGTTAACATCTTTTCATCCATGCTTATTACTTCTGGCAGGGTGGAAATGAATACCAGAAGTGATGAAGTCAGGATTCCAGATAAGGGTCCCTTGAGTGTCCCCCGGGGTGAAGCCTTGGTTATTCAGGACTACAGGCCACTGGTGTGTTCAGGGACACGGTGGCAAGGACTCACACATGTGTGGCCTCCAGATTGAACCCCCAGCCTGGCAGTGGGGAGCCAGACCGAGTCCAGACTCGCAGTTTTCATATTTGTTCAGCACTCAGAAATAACTTTTTGATGCCAAGCTCGAAAGAGCTGTGATCTAGATAAAATAAGATTCTTAAACCCTGAAAATGTACTGAGGCTTACAGGCAAGTTCTCATTTTATTAAAAGTTCAGTTCCACAAGTTTCACATTCCACAAGTAATAGCCAGTTAGGGAATAGGGTGTGTGCCACACAGCACGTCCAGAGCCCAGGTCTTCATTCTCTCCAGTATTTTCAAGAGAAAGAACCAAATGCCTCTGATTTTTACTTGTTTTTAAAATCCACTGTAACCTCCAAGCTCACCCCAGTTTTTGATCTAAGTCATTACTTAAAGGCGGATGTTAATATTTTCTTTTGCCGACCACTTTTTACGACCGCTTTGTGTGTACACAGAATTTAGTGGTTTAAGGTTAGAGCCCTACTGAGACTGAACATCTAGATCTCTATTGAACAAATTAGAAAGATATTCCTGAGTACAAAAACAGACATGAAACAGCAAGTAAAATGTGATCCCACTTGCTTAAAAAATTGTGCACATACATTATGTATGTGTATAGAGGAAGCCTGGAAGGATAATGGTGCCTCCTCTGGATGGTGAGATTTCGAGAGATTTTTTTTTTTACTCTTTTCCTTATATTTTCTGTATAATTTGAGCTCATTAAAGTATTGCTTGCCAATCTAAAAGTCAGTGGGAGAAATGTCGTTGTGTAAGAGAAGATTAAAGTCAAACTGAAAAGCCGGAGGTGCTCTGGCCTCTGCAGCATCACCTACAGTTCCGTCTACCCCCCCAGAGCATCCTGACCTCTGGAGGTGATGTCTTCGCCTTGCTGCCTGAACTTCACCTGGAACGTTGGTCTCTGATGTGAGCTGCCGGCATGGGCAATGATAGATCCTGGAGGTGGCAAATAGAATATCATTTCACGTATGTTGGGTTCTCATATCTGATGGGTAAGGAGAGCTGGAAAGTCACTATCTGTAGCTGCTGCCTGTCATTTCCTATGTGCCAAGCACTCTGCTAAGGACTTTGCATGGAAGTTTAGTCTCTATAAAACTCTATAGAAGAGGAAGTAATTTTTTAATCCTTATTTTACAGATGAGGGAACTGGATCTTAGAGAGGCTGAATAACTTGCCAGAGGTCATGCACTAAGTACTGGACTTGGGATTCCAGCCCAGGATGGTGTAGCTCCAGGGTTCATGCTTTTAACCATTTCAAGATGACTAATTTAATATAAAGACAATAATTTTTTACCTTATTTCTGTTTTACCTTTTTATATAAGTTCTCTGGTACCTTGACTAGTATAGTAAACAAGCTTTAACTCTCAGTATATCAGAAAAAAATAGTCATCACCATTTACCATTGTGTCCAATGGACCTTCTAGACTTGACTTTTTTTTATATCAAGCAAGTAAATTTTTTCGTCTTTTTCCTTCCAATCTTCTTTGTACACATACCCACCTTCAGCATTTGTTCATTTACAAACTGTATATATAGTAAATCTTGATGTACAAACTGTCCCACATTCATTTAGCAAAATGGGATGGTCCAGGTTCTTGCTGCAAGAATATTGTTATGAAGTCTTGGCCCTTGATGACTAACTGCATGAAAATACTGTATCTTCACTTTGTCTTTAGAATATATTGTTTTCTCACTGACTCTTGAGTTTGAGAGAGTTAATCCAGGATACTATCCTCTGAAGACTCGCAGTCTGAGGTTTCACTTTCATGATCAATTTCATCATCATCATTAGGGTCTTGAGTGCGACTCTAACTCTAAACATTGGTCTGATTCCTCCAGTGCTTGTGAAACCTTCCCCTCTCTGTTTTTTTTTTTTGATCTTTGTCAGTATAAGCAAGAATGAAACATTCTGAATTCTTCAGTCTATTCAATGAAGGTTAAAAGCAAACTATACAGTTGGGGTCTCCAATCTTCTGTTATATCTTTCATCAAGATGACACAACACTTTAGGTAACACAATAAAATATGAATAGTGATGCAATAGGGATAATGTATTTTCCTAATGAGCTGTTCTTCTAGGCCTAGGCTGTTCAGTGCAGTAGCCATTTGGCACATGTAGCTATTTAAATTAATTAAAATTCAAAAAATAAAATTTCACTTTTTCATTTGCACTAGCCACACAGCAAATTCTTTGTAGCCATGTGTGGCTAGTGCTACAGTATTGGACAACACAGAATAGAACATTTCAGTCATCACTGAACAGCAGTGCAGTTCTAAGC